GTCTCCAGCCATTAAAAGTTGGTATACATTTGGACTATGACCCAACTTATAAGTGATTAGTTTTTGGAGGTTCAAGGTCACAAAAATTCAAAAAGATCCCAATCTGTTAACACGGAGACTTATATCTCATGCTAATTTTGCTCTATAACTCAGTGAAATATGATAATATTTTGATTAAATTTGGTGGACATATGTGGAATAGTATTCATGCCAAAATTGGTCCATGTCCATTGATAACAGCGGACATATGGACACATTTTCATATTTTTTGAGGGCCGAATATTATCAATGCTGCGTGGCAGAGGAATGTGCTCTACTGAATGCTCCTCTAGTGTTATTAATGTTACCAGAATCCTCTACCATTCCTCTTATGTTGTCTTGTAACCAGACTGGTCCTTCCTCTCTAAGAACTCTGTTGCCTGGGACGGCCATTTGGCTTTCATGTCCATTTATTTCCCTTCCACCTCCCATCTGTACTCCTATTCCAATCCCGATCAGCTTCTTTGTCAGAATCACTTCTTAAGGTGTTATGTGGCACGTACTGCTGTCTTTCTGGGTTCATGTTCCTAGCCATTTATTCCCTGGAACCCTTCTCTTTCCCATGATCTATCCCCTATCACATTAACTGGTTGGGTTCATCAACTCCTTAGGCTGGCATATTCAGACTTATCCATGGAATGTCACCATCTCCTTGGTGTTTCTTCTCATCAAATTTGTCATATCACAATGTGGGTGCTTGTCTGTCCTTCTTTGACTTGGGAATATCTTTTTCACAACACTTCATTTGTTTTCTTTTCAGCAACCCTCTTTTATCACTACTAATAGAATCCCACTCTGTGGTGAGTGTTGCCTATTCAGGTGTGCTTTCACTCAAACCCGCACTATATATCAGTGTAGCTATAATGCTCAATGTAGAGATGGGGTGTTCTGCAAGACCACTAGTGGCATGCCTAGTGGTATATACATATGTGTCTCTAAGTATCTGTAAGTCTAACTCAATGGTGGACTATCATGAGTAAAGCAAAAGGGGATTTCTGCCCATCCCTGCCCACCCTTTGATTGCATAAATCGGGGACAGTCTGCTTTTCAAAATAGGGAATTATGGACATCCATTGGGCTTTTTCCAGTTTGACATTCCTCTGGACTTCCCACCATATTTATTTCCCTTTTTTATCCAAGTGGAACATGGGAGTCCTTACCAGTTTCCAGTGGCCAGGGTGGTGGACCAAGGAGGCTTTTTCCTGAGTATGAAGTAGAAATTTAGCTTACAATACAACCATACATTTATCCACTCAGTGAGAAGAAGGCAAAGCTGGGTTCCCTCCTTCCCTTTCCCCTGAATGCTTATTCAAAATGATGGTTGGAGAGAACCAACCTTTGTAGAATCCTCCTCATAATACCGGGTTGAGGATGAAACTGTCCTGTCCCATGGTTGAGTGCAGTAGAGGCCTTCTTTCTTGTTAATTCCAGTTGTGGAGGTTTCCTTCCTTGCTCCTATGGTGGAGTTTGGGGGACTTTGTCTGCCTTGTAATACCGGCAGCAGGACATATGTACACTGTTCCTACAATTGAGCAAGTATACCATATCCTCCTTGTAATTTCGGGTGCAGGATGCATCTTCCCAGCATTTATGATTGAGTGAGTTACCATTTCTGCTCTTGATACTGGTTATAGGTATTGCCCTGTTATTATGGTTGAGTTGAGGCAACGACATGACCCGTAATGTTAACTTAAAATAGGATGAAGTGCCTGGGCCTGATGATATTTACCCAGGGGTTTTTTGAAAAAGGTTAAAGATTGGATATGTGAGCCACTTATTATTATTTTTGTAAGTCCTTGAATAGTAGGCAGGTGCCAGAAGATTGGAAGTTGGCTAATGTTACTCCTCTTTTCAAAGGAGATGAAAAAAATTGACCTAGTAGTTATAGACTTGTTAGTCTTACAATATTGGTGGAAAAGTCATTTAACTAAGCTTGAAATTTTGTTGGAAAGTCAACATGGTTTCACTAGGGTAAGACTTAAACTTACTAATCTTTTGACATTTTTTGAAGACGTTACTGCTTATTTAGATGAGGGTTCAAGTGTAGATGTGGTGTATTTGGATTTTATGAAAACATTTGACTAGGTGCCACATAAAAGGCTGGTTAAAAAATTATATGTGGTTCATTTGATAGAAAACTGGTTAGATTGAAGAAAGCAGAGGGTTGTTACAAATGGAGTTCAGTCAAACTATATTAATGTCAAAAATGGGGTGCCTCAGTCTCAGTGTTAGGACCTTCGATCTTTTTGATTTACATCATTGACATAGATGAAGAAATAGTCATTAGATTATTTAAATTTGCTGATGACATTAAAGTTTTGGGTGTTACTAGCTGTGAGAAGGATGCTATTGTTTTATAAAAGGATTTGGATTATTTGGTGAGTTGAGGAAATAAAAGGCAGATGGATTTTGATTATAATGAATGCAAGATAATTCATGTGGGATCTCCCAAGTTGAATTATGAGTATAATTTTGATTGGAATAACCTTACAAGTGTTAGGACGAAAAAGATCTTGGTGTTCTTATTGATCAGTTTCCTAAGCCATCCATGTAATGTGCTATTACTAGTAGCTGGGCAAATAGTATTTTAGTCTGTAGTTACAGAAATATAGAATATATTTATATAGATCACTGGTTAGGCATCATTTGAAGTACTGTGTTCAATCTTGACCTTCTTTCCTTAAAAAGGATATTAAATTGTTGGACAAGGTTCAAATGAGGGCTATAAGATGATACCTTGGATGGAAAGGTTGTGATATAAGGACAGGTTAGGATCTCTGAAGTTGTTTTCTCTTGCAAAAGGAAGAGTTGGGGGGGGGGTATGATTGAGTGTTTTATGTTAAGGGAATTGATAGTGCTGATGCATCATATTTTGGCTTTTTGTACTTAATGGTAGAACAAGGGAACACAAATATAAATTGGCATTACTGTTTTTCTAATAGGGTATTTGATATTGAATGGGTTGCTTTCAGATATGATGAATGCAGTAAATTTAAGGAATTTTAAGGGAAGGCTCAATAAATATTCAAATGACAAGAGTTGGCTTTGAGTTTGTTTTTTAATATCAGTGGGTGGTGCAGCCTTGTTAGACCTTCAGGCACCTTGTTATCCAAAAACAAAAGTTGTTAGATTTCCAAAAAACTTTTCATAAAGTGCTACACAAAAGATTAGCTTCAAAGAACCACATTGATGAGGTTGGAGAAAGACTAGTAAATTGGATTACAGGATGGTGGGAAGATAGAAAGTAAATCTGTACCCCAAGTTCTGCTTTGTACACATCTCAACAATGAATTATGCATTTTCCAAGTTCTTTCTAGCTCATTAGGAATATTCAGGTCATACTGGCTCAGAGAAACATTCTCAACTGCATCGGCCTTAGTTTTCTTAGAATTATTAATAAATTTAAATAACTTAAAAACAATTAGAAAGGTAATGAACATTTTCAAATGAAAGCAATATACATTACCCGATGTTTCAAAGACTACAGGTATTCTTTCTTAAGGGCTCATCCACTTGAAACCGTAATCAATATTTTGTCTTTACTAACTATTTGTTTCAAAGTTGAACAGCAGCTTCCTAAGAGCATGGACAATTTTAAAAAGAAACTTTTTTGCAGCTAGTTAAAGGTTATATTCTGCTTAAACCAACTTGCAAGTTGTTGTAGATATATTTCACTTGAATTCTTTAGTTTTACTTTTAACATTATTATTGTTTACTAACTAATAAATTAGATTCATTATTTGAATGAGGATTAATAAGAATACTTTTATATATATGTGTATGATACAATTTATTATTCTGTTACAGTAAAGTATGATTATTATATCCCTCTTAGGAACTTGTTTCATGTTTCTTACCATATCTAATCCATGTTGTTGTATTTTTTCCTAACAACATTTTGTCATATTTAATTGCCTACCTAATTCATAATATTTTATAACTTCTTAATTATTTAAATTTGTTCATTTTAGTATGGCTACAGACTCTGTACCAGTTGAGACTGTGTTGACTGAGGAAGATGGTGAATTCAATATTCCAGCAGAAAGCCCAGTAAATATGCAGGAAAAACAGTTTTCTGGAAGTAATAACTCTACACTTTCTGAGTCAGACTTCAGCCCACTAGATGTGACTTTGAGAAGAAATATAGCTCATTGTAGCATTGCAAATGTTCCTCGTTCCATATCTAGGTAGATACGAATAATTTGTGAGATGATTAATCATAATGCCAAAAAAAGTTTGATTTAGTATATATTTTAGGTTTTTAAGGATTTTTGTGGAAAATAAAGGAAAATCATGGGATGCCTTTGATTACCTGAATAGCTTGCTTTATTTTGCTTATTCCATTAATGCATGTCTAACCTGGTATCTCTTATAGTGTACTGTTGGAATATTTACTTTCATAATCAGTATCTCCTAAATTAAGCAACTTACTCTCATTTTTATCAAGTTTCACCAGAAATAAGTCATAACACAGATCTGTCACAACCTGTTTTCTGGTAGTATTCAAAGAAAACTTTTAATAAGTTTAGTTATAACCTTATTGGATCAGTCTGAGCTTTAAAAAGCTTACATGCTGTTTAATTGCCTTTTTTCTTTAGTTAATGAAAAAAATCCCTTCTTTCTATGGCTGTGGGCTATTCATTGTCATGAAACTAGTTATCTCTTATGAAGGCTCATTTTCAGAAATGCTACATATTTACATTTTTGTACCACTAAGAACTATTACCATGTGTGCAATTGCATGGAATTTCCTGAGCATGCCACAAGCCTTGAACAAACTCTCACCCCTACATGTGCCTACATGTATTATGATAGCTATTTGTTTGTTTTTTTACTATCTAAACCATAAAATAACCTTTTTTTGGCCTGTGGCTTTGACTCTTTACTGTGTATTTGCAAATTCACATTGCTTCTATATCTCAAGGCTCTGATGTTCCTCTTAAAGTATCTTATCCACCTGTATCCATGGTAACTGAAGACACATTATCTGTTCGTGATCTTACAGCTGTTGTGCATCATGGAATTGATTGTTTCTTTTTGCCTACTTCTTTTTCAGTTCTGTTCTCTTATTGCTCTGTTTCATTGCCTTCTGTGGAGCCTGCCTTGCCTGTGGATGATTTTGACCAGCATTTTCTCCATCTAACCTTTGATTCTGGTTCTTCTGTTACTAATGTGGAATAGATACTTTCTCGTCTTCTATTTGCTTGTGACATTCTACCTCCTTCTGTAGTCAATCCTAATACCTCTCAGGTTCCTTACTTTATGAACCTCCACTCATAACTTCCTCTTTTCCTCCCCTCCCCAGATGTTCATGCCCACACTGATACATTTTTATTCCAACTTCTTGTTGAACAGCATTTTCGTCATCCTCTTTGTGACTCCTTTTTTATGGAATATGGACATGACCCTTCTGTTTTTCTTGAACCTCAGTCTTTTGAGCCCCTTCTGTCTGCTTGGGGCACTCCTCTTTCTTTCTTTGTCTCTTTCCTATCAACAATCTACTTGTCTTTGTTTTACCTTTACTATACCTCTACTCTTCAGTGAGGCTCTCCATTATAACTTGAATGGTTTTGTTAAGGACACCCATTCCTATTTGATTGCCACTTTGGCTTCTATCTCTTTTTTATACTGTATATTTTTTAACCTGGTTTCTTTGTTTTTCAATCTTCTCATTTGAGATGCTTTCCTTTTTGTTATTTGCTTCCCTTTCTTTTGTTTCTGTGACTTTTGAATTGTTCCTTCTTCTTGTGAGCAAGTCTTTGGGGGTGATCCCAACTCCTTGGAATCCTGGGTGGGGCTGCTCACCAGCAATCCTCCATTGTTTACCTGGTTTCCCAGCTTGCTTGTTCATGGGTTCCTCAGTTTGCTGCCCATCCTCATGAGTCATGTCAGCCTGATTCCTCTCGTATTCCTTGCTCTCTTGTTTCACTCATCCCCTCCCCTCCTTCCCCTCGCCTGCAAAGCTAGTCATCACAGTTCTCAGCAGTAACTCTTCTTTGGAATACATCTTGGGTACTAGTTCTGTCAGTACTTGCCTCTCACACTTTGCCCTCCTGTGGTCTCCCTTCACCATTGAACCTTGGAGTGGGGGAGCTATAAAACTTTTATCCCATCCCACTCAGGATTTTCATTCCTGTTTCTTTGACATTCGCAAGAAGATGGGAGGTTGACACTCTGTCATTAACCTGTTATCTTTGAATCACCATCTGTTTCTTTCTCAATCTAGGTGGATGACTTTTTCAGGTTACATTAGGACCTTATTTCTGGGCTGTGGATGATTAAGATTGAAGTTTCAAATGCCTTCCTTCACATTCCCATTTCCCCAGTGTTTAATTTTTCTCTGGTTTGTTCACAGTGGACATGTCTTTCAATTCTGCACCATTCGCTTCAGCCTCGGCATGGCCTCTCATGTTTTCAACCAGATTATACGTTCCTTTGCTCAATGCATGCATCTTCTGGGCATTTGTTTCTATCATTGTATGGACAGCTGACTCCTTCTGGCTGTGTCTCAACATGATGTGGCAGTTGCTACCTCCATTCTTTATCAGGAGGCTTCTTATCTAGGCTGGCTGGTCAAACATTCCAATACCATTTTGACTTAGTATGTTGTTTATCTAGGAGTTTTCATTAACTCCTGTGTGGGAGGCAAGCTCAATCCTCTCTCTTGCATATTCACACTATGAAAATGTTGATGTCCAAGGCACTTCTCTTTCCTTTTATTCTTGTATGTAGGATCTCTTGCCTTTGGGGGTTCTTACTTCCCTAGAAGCCCCGATCACTCTTGGTTTTGCACACATGCATCCCCCTCAGTGGGCTTTATGGGATCAAAGGAACATGTCATGACATACTTTATCTGCCCTTATGTTTCTACTATCCTTTCTACATCCTTCCAGAGTATTCCATTACCCACCCTTTCAGCCCAACTTGCATTTTTACACCAATACCTTTCTTTCCAGTTAGAAGGCAGTTCTAAGTACCACCCCTTACTCCAGGGTCTGGTCTCCAGAGGAGCATTCTCTGCATATTAACATTTTTGAGATTACCATGGCTTATCACTTACCAACTACTTCGGTCTTGGTTCATCTTGTAATGACAACTCTAAAATCACTTTTTCTATCAACCATAAAGGAAACACCCACTCTTGTGAACTGTTCTTTCTCACTCTGAACTTCATTTATTAGGTCTATGATCATCGTTTTTGTGTAATGGCTTTTCATGTACTGGATGTTTTGAATCTGATGGCAAATTGCTTATCTTGATTGAACAGGATAAATCCCGTGGAATGGTTCTTACATTCCTTGGTCTTTATCAGGATTTATTTCCATTTTAGGACCCCTAGATTGACATGCAACTCCCCTCAATTCCAAACTTCCCATTTTTGGAACAACCATCCTAGACTTAATTGTTTTGGCTGTTGAGGCTTTGAGCCAAGATTGGTCCAATCATTTTCTGTATGCATACTCTTTGCCTTTTACCCTGTGTACACTGTATGTATCATGACACAGCTTGCCAATTTTTACTGGTTGTTCATCTGTGTCTAGCTCAGTCATGGTTTCCCCTTCTACTTCATTTGTCATCAGGGGAACCTTTTCCCCTCTCTTTGGAGGTCCCTCCTCTGCCAACTTCAGTCATCCATATCTCAAAACAAGATATCATGCCTTCACCTTCATACATGTAATATATCTGGTTCCTTGCAAGATGAATGTGATTTTCCAGCAGAATAGCCTGTTTTCTCTCTCAATCTTGTTGGCCTCCATCAGTGCAAGTGGGCTGTCTATTGCTCCTAGTCCCTCCACTGCAATCTTTTGTCAAGTCATCATACTCTTCCAATTCTTACCTTTTTTTTATCTACCTTTTTGATAAGGGTCTGTTACTGTTTTTATCATTGTAGGTTACTGAACAGGATCATCTGCAACTTTCTGCCTTTTGTAAGGCACTAATCTCTTCCTTTTGCCTGTTTTCATGGGCATCTTCAAAGCCTTTTTTTGTTCATTGTTCCCTCATTCCAGTCTCTGTTCCTAACTGGGACTTTCTTGTGGTTCTTTAAAAATTTACTTCTCACCATTTTAAGTCATTGTCTTCATGTTCCTTGTATCATTTGCCTCTTAAGGCATATATTTTCTTCTCCTTGCTTGTGGTTGTCATTATTCAGACATTTACTATTTAGACTTTTCCTGTACTCTCTATCATAAGGACCAGTTGATGTTTTTCCAGGCTAATCCTTTGTTCCAAAGACTTGGGCTGTCTTGGAGGGCAGTTGTATGTTTTCTCTTCTCTCTCTCCCTCATCCTGTCTGGGATGTCCATTGTTATCTTGCTTAGGCTTCCCTTTTTTCACCTATTTTTACCCTTCCACTTTAACTGGTTGGGCTTGCCAATATATTTGTCTCAAATATTTTTCTTAAGGTGAGTCTAACTGTACATTCTTTCACCTCTTCTCCCTCTAGATTTAGCATATCACAGCCTCTCTTCTCTTCATTATTAGCCTTTGGATGCAATCTGACAGGGAGGTATGTAGACTGCAATTAACACACTCATCCCCCATTACTTTCATCACTAGAAGATGCCTCTAGTTTTCACCTCCCTCCAGTCATCATTCACTAATCTATACAGAGGCCCTAGTGTTATGAATTTTCAGACATCTCCATGTCATTAATGCATTTCATGGCACCTTCATGTGTGTACTATTATTTTTGTGCACGTTTTGTCACTTTGCAAAATAATTAAAAAATACAAAATATAATAACTGCTCGACAAAAGAAATAGGAGGCAAGACACACCTGATTGGATGTAACTTGAGAAAATACATGCTACATTCCGTATGATTGGTGCCATTGGATCCTGCCAAGTAGTTGGCATTACTTCTCAGAGAATACCCAAAAAATTACATAAAGCGGGGGAAAATGGAAAATGTTAAACAGTTGTCATGGCAATTTCCACATCTTTTACAAATGAAATAAAATACAAAACAGATAACACCAGATGTAGTTCAGCTCTTACACCTGGTGTGTGCTTACTGCCTTTAGTTGTAGTAACCCATTGCACTGTCTCTTGGTGGGGACCCAATTCCAGATAACTGTTCCTCATGAAATTGGTCCATGCACACTCCTTGATGTTTCCCCTATTCCTCCTCTGCTGTTCTTCTAATGGAACACAGGGAGAACCCTAACTTCCCAGTCTTAAGCTACTAGAGATGTCAATATGGAGAGTTTCCTCTTTAAGTGGTGTATTCCCCCTGGTTAGAGACCAGTTGGGCCCACTCTTCATGACAATAACTCCCAAGCAGTTTCTGGTGGATAAGTCCAGTCAGGTGGGACTTGGAGTTGCCTAGGGATGCTGATGAGGGCTCTTCCTCTCTTTACCCGTCATTATTGTATCTATCTTATGTAGTTATTTGACCAAGACAAAATGGCCTGAAACCCTAGCCATACTATACAGTATAATGTTCCACCAACCTTGGTGATGCATTACCACTTGATTTTACTGATACCTATTGCTCTGCTATCCCAATACAAAAAACAACAACAACAAAACTTTTGTGCAAAGAGTATTCCCCATTTTAGAAGGATGCAGTCTTCCACCAGTTGCTACTTCACTAACCAATTCTCAGTCTCATGAAAGTTATGCCCCATGAGTTCCCCTTCTTTTGCTATTTCAGAATAGCGCTCATCTTTTTAATACATTAATACTGGTCCCTCCACCATCTTTGATGTGGAATTCTAGTTATAGGTGGTTTAGAAAGGTAAGTACTTTTTGAATTTAGCATCTTTTATCACCTGAAAATGCATTTCCAGTACATGTTTGTTTGCCTCATCAAGAATGAACATATGAAGATGTGCTAGCACAATACACATAGGCACATGTAGGGATTGGAGTCTCTTCAAGACTTGTGGCATACATAGGACATTTCACAACAGTAGTGAGTGAGATAGTAGCTTTGGATGATGCAGAGAGGGTATCTATCTATCTAAATACATTTTCCGTTAAGTAAAATAGTTAACTTTATACTGTGGTCTTTATTCTGA